AGGATCTTGCTGTCACTGTGTGATACATTTGCCTTCCAAAATCCTGTTCTGTACCATGTCTGGCTCCCTGTCTAATGCCAGGGATGGGTTCACAGCAGAGGGGAGCACAGCAGTGAGGCAGTGTTTGCAGGATCGAGTGAAAAAGCAAGCCTGAGTCTTCTCAGTACCCAGCTGCTGTCCTTTTGTCCAACATCCTCCACAGGCACCACTCCCTCAGGTGAACTTCACACCTGGACTCTTCCTTCCTTCAGGGGTTTCACAGCTGATGGAGACAGGACTGGATGAAGGTTCACTGTGGACGTCAGCAAGAACACAGTACCCCCTTCCTCTCATGCATGTGATGGTGAGACCAAACTGAAGCCTTCTGCCTTACAACRACTGGACCTCCCAGAAAGTCTGTGATTATTTCCCAAGAGAACACATAAAACCATAATAATTTCAGGAACTAGAGTGRCACAATTAAGGAATGACAGAACCTACCCCAGTTAATACTGCTGAAGAGTTTCCAATATTATCCAAAATTTGACTTATTTAAATATYCAGGGAACAGAGTCTTGTTTTCCTTGAGAATGTTATCTAAACCAGACACAGATTAATTAGTTTTGACACGTTGGCGAAGAAACAGTATCCCACTTTTCTCATTCATCTTTATCGCCAGTAACATTCATGGTAACATTACAAATGATGGAACAAGAGTCAGTTGAAACTTTATTTTTAASAGAAATGGTTAAATCTAAGGTAGGCTAAACAGGTTCCCAAGGCAAATATTTCCAAACACAGAAGCAAATAACACTTCTCTTTCCTGCATTATCAAAAACTGGACTGAATGACACCTCGAGGGGTTACTTAGTCTGTGTCAGTCATCTGTGAAAGAAGTTTGCTTAACCTGTTGCAGGGATGTTCCCACTTTCTGAAGCTATACCTATAAGGCACTTCCTTCTGGCAAACTTTGAGCACAAAAACAATTCAGAGAAGACCCCTTCAAGAAATATCTCTCTGATTCCTGCGAATATCTTGGTTTTCAGGAAAGCCCTGAAACTGAGAGCATGTGTTTTCTGTTTGCCCCACCAATGCTCTTGACAAGCCTGATATGTGCGTGCGAGCTCAGCGCAGGTTTACTGCTGTGCTTTGCGGAGGCAAGCGCTGCCAGCAGGTCTCGGAGGCTGCTGCATTTCGAGCTCCTGCGAGGYTCTGCTGCTCTCTGCTGGGAAATGCGGGCAGAACCCGCTGCAGGATGCGCTGGGGGAAGAGCTACATTTGCCAGCACGCACACTCAGAGCCACCTGTGCAAGCGCAGACACCGGGGTGCAGTCTCCTCCTAAACATCGCTGTCAGAAGCACACCCACATCAAAGTCTGCTGGAACAGGAGCAGTCTGGGTACAACCAGCAGCCCCAGCCACCTCTCTTCCCCCTTGCAGCCCAGCCCTCTGCCTCATGCAGGAGCTGGCTTTCCTCGCTGTCCTGCACTAACACCTGCTCTCCTCCCAGCCTGGATATTTATTTTTTTTTTTTCCTCAAAACCCCTCTGGCTGGAGGGCAGAACAATTAACCCATCAGGTTAGGAACAGGGAAGGAGCCAATGTGTAGGGCAACCTCATGACCCCCCAGAGTCACCAGTCAGGACACAGATGAGCAGAGATGTCTTTCCAAGGACCCCAACACTCTGCCTCACAGCCTGGATATTTTTCATCATTGCTCCATGACYTAAAGCTGCTCTTTGCTCAGCAGACCTCAGGAAGGTTTTAACTATGTCCAGTTGTAACTGTGCAAAGCCAAAACTTGGGGCTGCAGCGTGCAGGAAACCACGAGGCCCTGGCCACAGGTATCTGGGCTGCTGCAGCTCATGGATTGTGTGCCAGGTGAGCTCCCTGATCCAGCCACCACCTTCAGCCTGGAGCAAACCTCAGCTTCTGACAACTCCTGCACAGGAGAGGGGGAGAAATTCCCCAGCCTGGTRCTGACCGAGGTCTGCTGCCTCTTTAAGCAATGATATTTAATTTTTATGATGTGTTTCATCCCATGCAACACATTATGATTTTCAAGTAGCGGATGAGGCGACCGGAATTTGAGATAGGCATTTTCAGGATCTGGCTATTATATATGTATATTTACAGCTCAATAAAATAAGAAGAAATATTCAAAGTAAACAGACTGTGGAAAGTGATTTCTTCCAACTCTCCACTGCAGACTTGCAAGAAACCAATCAAAGAGGCTCAAGAGTGGTTTGAGCATAATTTATTAACCCAAAAGGGGCCGCATTGTTAACCAACATTATTTATAGTGAGCAGCTCAACCATCTCTACTGAACAACTGTGTGATACTGCAGGGACAAATGCAATGAGTTACTACAGAGATAGGACAAAACCAGCAGCAGGTCTTTGTTACAGCTGTTAGAAAAAGCATCCCCAGGAGACAGACACTGAATCTCTAATGGCTATCTTATTTCTCTGACAATTTATTTAAGTTTTAACTTAACAGCAGGAATGATAGCCACAGTTACACAGTGACTCCCAATAAAGGAATGTATTGCTAATCTGCAGCTGGTGTTTTCTTATTTATTTCAAAGTCTTTAAGTTCCAGACTTAGCATATGGTGCCATATAAATAATGATATAATAATACGTTTTTGCTTCCCATGTGCCTGTGTAGAATAAAGCCATGTGATTTATCTTACAGGAGCATTGTATTTAAGGCAYTATTTTGCTCAGAATTTTTAATGCATTTAAAATGCACCTTCTGCTTTTTTTTTAATCTCTTCTTTTGAAAGAATAAACAGAGCAGTGATGTTTATTTAATAGARTCATTCATCTTACTTCCTTGTGCAAAATCCTAGCTTTCCAGACCCAGCAGCCAGATCCCTGCAGTAAGCAGTGGGGTTGGAGAGATCTGCTGTTTACCAATGAGGCACAGATGAAAGGAACACATGGGGCTCGAGATCTACCCACAGCACAACACTATTTGAAGCCAGCAGGCAGCTGAGAACTGCTTAGTCCCATCCAGTAAAGGATAGAGGGGAGAAACCCCTGGGAGAAGTTCTGCAGGGAGTCATGCTGTGGAGAACACAGCACTGGGATGGCTCAGCACACAACCCACCCTAACACAACTGATGTAAAGATAAAACTGTATCAGCAGTTACAAAAAGCCAGCAGTGCCATGATGTCTGAAACCATCACTGTCACATGGCAAAGTGCAAGAGGAAAGAAAGGCTCAGAGAAGGAATGACCTGGCATCCCATGAGTGCAAACAGCAGTGCTCCAGTGCAAGATGATCTGAGTGGTCAGTGTGGCTGATGGACAGCATTGTCATGAACCTGGTACTGGAACAGTGGAGCAGTTGTTTCTCTTAAAAGGCCAATGGCATAACCTGAAAAACACACACAAAGCAAGCTGCTCTGAATAGAAGTGACATCTGTAAGTTTAGAATAGCTTTTGAAGTCCTGTATCTCCCTCCCTCTCACCCCATAAGCCCCCATGGCAGTTTCAGGCAGTTGTTTCAAGCCCAGCTCTTGTCAGACTGGAGCATGAACCAGAATATGTCAGAAGCTGGTTACTGTGGTAACCCAACACAGCTTTTATCTTTATTTCTTTCATCTCCTCTTTGGGGAAAACTGGCAGTCTGTTTATTTGCTTTTTCTGATGAAGTTCATCACGTAGAACACCAACTGYGTGGATCTGTGTAAAACTGAGGATGGGAGAAAGTACCTCTCAATGTGAATGGAAATATTTCTCTTGGCACTACCACCCTACCTCTTGCTTCCCTACCTCCCTTTAYAAGCTATTTGACATGTCCTTTTCCACCTGCCCCTCAATGCACAGCTTCCCTCTGCCCTTCTCACTACCATGGCACTTACTAACAGTGCCAACAACTGCAAATGCCTACCCTGGGCTTTCCTGCACCCCTCACAGAAGCAAGGCAAGGCCAAAAAGACACAGAAACTCACAGTGAAGTAACTCAGCTCCCTGCAAAATGAAAGGCAGGCTGGGCTATGGGTGAACCCCACAATCTTCCCTCTGCTGAGGGAGCCCTACACATGGCTCATGGCTCTGGCACACACCGGAAAACCTCTGGCTGCTTTTAGGGGAAGAATAACACAGGTGAGGGGGRCAGCCACCAGGACCAGGACTAGAACTAAGGCCAGAACCAGAGGCAGAACCAGGTCCAGTGTCAGGCACCACCACCAGTGGCATTAGGGCACGTATCAGGAATTGTGTCCATTGGTGTGTCCACACTCAACTCCTGTCACTTCTGACTCAAATCCACTTCTGGGCCCCTCACTACAAGACACTGAGGTGCTGGAGCAAGTCCAGAGAAGGGAAATGGGAGTTGGTAAAGCATCTGGAGCACAAGTCCCACAAGGAACGGCTCAGGGAACTGGAGGTGTTCAGCCTGGAGGAAAGGAACCTCAGGGGTGACCTTATTGCTCTCTACAACCACCTGAAAGGAGCCTGTAGCCAGGTGGAGATTGGCCGCTTCTCCAAGACAAACAGTGACAGGACAAGAGGACACAGTCTTAAGTTGGGCCTGGGGAGGTTCAGGTTGGCCATCGGGAGGAAATTGTTTACAGCAAGAGCGATTAGACATCGGAATAGGCTGCCCAGAGTGGCATCACCGTCCCTGCCTATGTTCAAGGAAACACTGCAGATGGCACCTAGTGCCATGGTGTAGTTTCCAGGGTGGCGTTGGACCATCGGCTGGGCTCGCTGATCTCGGAGATCTTTTCCCACAGATAAATTCCGCGATTCCGATCGCCCCCG